TAGGATGGGGAAGTGTTTATAGTTGAATGGGAATAAGGGAGTGGCTCACTCAACTCCTTTGTTTCTAAGTGTACTATTGCCCCTGAGAACCCTGGTCCCTGAAAATCTTTGAGGGGAGTTGAAAGAGGAAGTTCCATCTTCTATTGCTACTTCTGGCTGAGCAGGGGCATCGGCCCTACCTGTGCATAGACTGAGGAACCCCCACCCTGACTGATCTAGAGTCCAAGGGAGCCGAGACCTTCCTCTGAAGATTTCTTGATGAACTGTGGACGTGGAAGCAGGTTCTGATCTCAAATTATGGTCACCACCAGTAGTTTGGTGGCTGTCAAACAAGAAGAAACAATGTGAGTAACAGATTAGTAACAGATAAGATCGAGATAGTAAGGCTATGAGAAGCATCAGCAAATGCTGTGTCCAGAATAGCAATCAAGGCCCCCAGTTCCAGACACTGGGATAGGACAACCATGGCTCACATACTTTTTTATGGATCTTGGAAGCATGACCAGTCAGTTTTTGTGCCTTGTCTCTTATTATTTTAGACTTATTAACAAAGGAAATGCATTCTCCCTTTAGGGAAAAGCATAGCCCCTTTGTTTCAGCTGTTAGGAGATCTAGTCCCCTCTGAAGTTGTACGGCCACTGCCACTATGGGTCTGTCTGGTCCTGAAGAAGGCAGTTCATCTAGGCTGTCTGTCACGTTCTCAGGTGATGTGTCTGGTACCTTTACCATGGGTTTCATCTGTGTGATCACTGAGAGTTTGGCAACCTCTAGGCAAGAATAAACAAATTTTACTGAGAGATGAAGACACATATGACCACCGCATAAGCACTAGAATGGAAAGGAAGAATGAGGAAGGAGCCACATCAGATGCTGTTCTTAAGGGACTGGAATAGCACTTGTAACCAGGTGGCTCCTAGACCTGTCTACAGGTGTAGCTAGAAAGGGCCAGCAGGGCACAGTGAATGGAGCCCCTTTTTGCATTTAGCATGCATTGCTATTACTTTTATATGTTTTTGATTATACTCCCCTGCTGGGTATCAAGACCAGGTTAAAGTGAGACCTGTGTCAACCAAAATTGACCTCTTAGCTATCAAGTTCAGTTGAGTATCCTCAGACTGTCTGTCCCTGACAGTTGTAGCCCCTACCCTGAAAGATGGGCTGTGTGTCTAGCAGGGGTTCAGGTCAGATCACTCTGTCTTCCAGGAACTGGGGTGCAGTGGGGAGTAAAGTGTGCTCCTTGCTAGCAAATCTACTTGTGTGGAGAGAAACGAGATCCAGATTCTGTCCTTTTTGTTACTAGACTGGCTGGTGTCTGTGGCTCTGTCCAGGAAGACAGAAGACTTCACTGTACCATTTGGCTCATTTCCAGTCATAAGGCCCAGTTCTCTGTGGCTCATTCTGTGGTTTATTATTCAAGATGCCTGCACCAGACTGTTCTGGGCCTTTTCCGGATATTCTTTGGGGAAATTTTCACCAGGGTTATGTCACAAATGGGTAGTAGGCTCTGACTTACTGGCAACAAGTCATACAGGTTTTCCTTTTTTATTTCCAGATAGTTCACAACGGTGATGTAAAAGGTCGCAATGAAACATAATTAAATGCCCAGACAATCTCAGCTCAGAGCCACTCCGGTTTCCAGGGAAGACAGCATTTGAAGACTGAAGACAGGCCCATCTCTCTCCTTCAGCACTGAACTAAAATCTAAACGGAATGACAGTCTGAAGCAGAGACCCTCAGTCTGCCGGGCGATACACGGGTGAAGCTGTTGAGGGCAGAGGCGCAAGCAAGGGCTTATGAACAGAGCCTCACTTACCCAAGAAACAGTACCAAGGACCAGCAACTGGGATCTCATCACATGAAAAGCCTCTGCACAGCGAAAGAAGCAACTAACAGAGTGAAGAAAGCTTACAGATGGGAAAAATGTCTGTCAGATACACTTCAGACTGAGAAATAAGAGAGTGTATATGGGACTAAAAATTAGATCCCCCCAAATAAAAACACAATAAAGAAAAGACAACTGAACAAAATAGATACTTCTCAGAAGAAGTCCAATGACCAATAAATACATGAAAAAAATCTCAACATCTCTAGCCATTAGAGAAATGCTAATTAAAACCACACAGACTCTATCTCACTCCAGAGAGAACGGCCACCACCAAGAAACCAAATAATAGCAAATGCTGGCAAGGCTGCAGGGAAGGAGGACCCTTTCTCTCTCTCTCTCTCTCTCTCTCTTTTTTTTGGTACTGGGGATTGAACTCAGGACCTTGCAATTGCCAGGCAGGCGGCAGAACCACTGAGCTAAATCCCCGGCCCTGCCTTTCTCATTTTTGAAGGGAATGGGTACCAGTATCCCCACCATGGAAAAGAATGGAGATTCCTCAAACATCTAAAAGTAGAAATTCTATTTGACCCTGCCATTCCCCTTCTAGGTATCTTTCCAGAAGAGGTAAAGACATTGTATTCCAGTGATCCATGCACTCCCATGTTTACAGCAGCACAGCTCATAAGAGCTAAATCTTGGAAGCAGCCTGTATGTCCATCAACAGATGAACGGATAAAGAAAATGTGGCATTTGTATACCATGGAGTACTACTCTGCCATAAAGGAGGATAAACGAGTTATTTGTAGGAAAATGGATGCACTTTGAGACCATAATGTTAAGTGAAATATATCAGACACACAGGCTTAAACATCACAGGATTTCTCTTATATGAGAAACCCAAAACATAAATTGAAGAGAAAATTAAAGTGTGATCATTATGTACTACAAACATACAGGAATAAAAATAAAAAGTCAAAACAAGAAGGGACTCCATACGGGGACAGGAACAGCACTGGCTCTGGTGGGACACTGACAATGTGCTAGGCATCCTGTGAAGCCATCAACACAAATTCTCGCACACAACGGTCCCAAGGCGCTTCTTGTCCTGATTTTTAAAACAGGGAAACCGACATTCATGTCCAAGGGCATCCGTGACTGGGACTCACATTTCCAACCCACATTTTTGTGATGTTGAGCTTCAACTCTGAAGAATTATTTCAAGCAAACACTTCCAACAGGAATTCTTCTACCTTTCGGGATTCACATCAAAACCCAACCTGGGGAGAAGTACATGTACTGTTTCTCTCACACACAGAGCCACGGATCCCAGAGGGTTCTCCGTGAACTTTGGGTCTTGGGTGTAAGGGTTTTCCCGGCGCATCTAAGTTGATTGTGCAGAAAAGCGAGGCCTGGCTAAGCCCTGCCCTTGCAATGCTTCCCGGTTCCTCCCTTTGACCTCCCCTCCTGCTGTCTCCTTTCTTCCTCTCTGAGGTGGGCTCCTGCCCCAAGTCCTGCGGGGACCCTGTGATGCCGACCCTCCAGAGCAGTGCTAGCCAGAAAGCGGAAGCCCTGGCGCCCACCCAGGGTGGCCACAGTTCCCCAGGTTCCCCAGATTGAGAACCAGTGCTGCAGCGCTCAGCTGAGCGTCCTAGGAGGAGGGAAGCTGTAGCCGACCTGGCCGCTGAAAGACCCCTAGGTCTCTCCCACTCCGCACACCAAACGTCAGAATGTGCACAGCCCGCCTGCGCCTGCCGGGACCTCTCTGGTCGAGAACCACGCAGAAACAAAGAAAATTTGAATAGGATGGAACGGGAGGTATTTTAAAATCCAAAGAAACAACCTGGCAGGAAAGGTAACTCTGAGCCTGACACAGGGGCTCTCTGACCAGTTCCTCTTTCCGAGGAGCCACAAGTGGGAAGAGATGACCTGGCCCACACTGCACTTAGCTCCTGCGTCCTCTGTGACTCCCCAGGGTCCTCAGGACCAAGTTCACCGTGGAGGAAAATGGCTTCACCTGGTGTTCCTGCCCCAGCCAGGGAGCCCAGCTGCGCCCCCATCCCCTGGGCCTGCCTGCGGTGTGCGCGGAAGATGGAAGCCAGGCCACCCCGACTGATGGTCACCAGGGACCCACAGTGGCCACTGCTTGGTCCACATCACCTGGAGGATGCCTTAGAGATGCTCGGGATGAAGGCCACCCTGTGGCGCTGGCAAGGCTGGGGCAGCAGTCACCAGATGGGAGCCCCCAGGGGTCCTCGAGGGTGAGTGTGATCCGCCCCCTCCTGCAGCCTCCTGCCTCAGGGCACAGTGGGGAGTGCCAGTGCTCACACCAGACAATGCACTCGGACGTGGAAGGGAGCTCTGAGGGTAACATCACGCTCTCAGACAGCCTTACACCTGGGAAAGAAGGGGATTTCCTTACACCGATCAAGGACTCTAAAAATACAACCCAGAACTCCCTAAATGGACGACAATGAAGGGGCGCCCTTGTAAAAAGCTCCAAAGACAGGGCCCAGGATGTAGCTCAGTGGTTCCCCCACCTGTCTTGCAAGCGCAAGGACCCGAGTTCGATCTCCAGTACCAAAAAAAAAAAAAGAAAAAAAAGTAGCCTTGATAAATGTAAAACCAACGTAAAATGTGATTGCATTTCTGTAAATAAATCTGCAGGCCCCATCCCCTTATCCTCAGAGGATGTATTCCAAGTCGGTGCTTGAAACTTCAGGGGGTACCATGCCCTGTCTCGCACTGTTTCTCCTGTGCATACCCATGGTGACGTTTAACTCATGAATTAGGCACAATGCATGATTCACAATGCTCATAATAAAATAGAACAATTACAATAATACTCTGTAATAAAATTTACTTAAAACATATGAATTCTTGAGCATAGTGATGCTGACTGTAATTCCAGCCTTCTGGGAGGCTGAGGCAGGAGGACTCAAGGTTGAGTCCAGCCTTAGCAACTTAGCAAGACCTTGTCTTAAAGTTAAAAAAATAAAAATGAGCAAGGGTTGCAGCTCACTGAGAAGGCCCTGGTTCAATCCCTACTAGTACTCACCAAGTTATGAGTTGTTTATCTCTAGAATTTCTCATATAGTGTTTCTGTTTTCCAAAGCCACCTGGGCCAATGGGGAAGAGGAACTCACTGGCCAATCAGGCGGCACCGCAGGTGTTTTCTGCTCACTCCAGCGCCACCCAATAAGGACCAGCCAGGCGGACCTGTGCGGTGAGTCGGCAGCCCTCCGCGCTGCTCTGCTCCTTGTGCCTATCTTTTTGCTGCTTTGGGTCTTCATTTCCTCCCCTTTGTTTGGCCTCCCTTCTTGACCAATCTGAAAGATTCCGTGGTGTCCTTGACCCCCAGGGCCCGTGCAGTGATGATGTTTAACTCAATTTTGTGGGAAACTCTACCAAATGCCTGGATATTTCAAAGCCTGATCTATAGCAGCTCCCCCCAGCACCAGGCTCTGTCCTGCTGGAAAGTGAGCCAGATTATGGGCTTTGATCCATTGCTTGAGGCCTAGGGGAAGGATGGAGCAGGGTCTTGAACCCAAGCGAAGACAGCATGTGTAAGGAATCTCAGGGCTGGAGAAGCTCAGAGGGCAGCGGTTTCCCTTAGAGCCTCAACACCTGAGGAGCAGAGCTGGGGCCCAGCCGAGCCCCAGGAGGCAGGTGTGAGGGCCGATCAGCCGGGCCTCTGCACTGCCGCTTGCTGTCAGGCCCAGGGTGGAGATCCTTGGGGCTGGAATTCCGGGCTGTAACACACCCAAGACTTTGCCTGCTGAAATGAGTGTGTGTAGGTGGGATGTCGTGCTATATCGATTCACATTGACATTTATTATTTGTTACAGATTCAGCTGCATCCCCAACCCTAAAAAGTCAAGTTAAAGCCCAAGCCTTAGCACCTCAGAAGGTGGGAAAAAAGTTGCAGTTGATTCACTCCACTAAAATGAGGTCTTCCCGGCCTGGGTGCGTCCCCCTCTAAGGAGCTGTGTCCTTCCAAGATGAGCACGCATGGCACAGGACAGTGCTGCGTGGCTATGAAGTCGGGTGGGGATCAGGCAGCTGCCAGCCCAGTGTTCTTCTGATAACCACAAGTATCAAAGTCAGGGAAATAACAGTGATGCGATACATTTATGTAACATAAAGATCTTGTGGTTAGGGTTCGTCACTATGTATATAATCTTTGCATTTTTTTCACAGGACTATTGGAACACGAATTCTCACACTAAGCTTGTCATTTTCCTATATCTAACCTATGTGTCAAAGAGTTTAAGCATACTGAGTCTGTGATTTGGGGCAGGGGGAGAAAATATTCGGGGGAAATAATTTTTAGTTTCAATTTTGATAATTTGCTGATGCAGATCTTTGAGTCTGAAGTCTCTGGGGTGGGAGAGAATTTCTTTCACCTGTAGAAATTAGTTTTAAAAGCTTTACAAGAAAGAAATTGAAAATGGAAGTTGTCATTTTCTGAGAATTCACGTATATTTGAACAAAATCACCCGTCTGGCTAGAAAGGCATAATACCTCTGTGTTTGAAGCTGCCCAGGAGTGTGGCGACATCTTGCCTGTCATGCCCGAGGGTCACTATTTGTGCTGTCTTTTCTTCGGACCTCTTGGGGCATCTCACAAATATGTTTTGTCTTTTTTTTTTTTCTCCCAGTACCAGAGATTGAACTCTAGACCTTGTGCTTGTGAGGCAGGTGTGGTGCCACTGAGCTAAATCCCAGCTCTGTTTTGTCTTTTCAAAGAAACTACTGAATATAACTGGTATTTTCACTTTTTATGTCATAGGTTATTATTTTCTTCTGTTTTCTTTTGGTGTGTTTGTTCTTTAACGTCAAATGCATACTTCGCTTGTAAAGTTTCAAGCTCCCTGTCTCAGACCTCGGACAGAGCACACGGGTGCATCCTGGTAGGCTGCACAACCCCCACCCCCTTCATGCGGGATAGCAGGAAACATCACTCAGTTCAAATTTAACTTATAATCCTTCATTTTGTTATATATTTTTTGTTAATATACCTGGAAGCATATTTCTCAACGTTGGCATCTTTGGGTCCTTTCGCTGTTGACTTCTGACATAAACTGTGATCAGAATATTCTCACACATGACTTCTGTGGCCTGAAACCTGTTGAACCCTGCTCTAAGGACCAGCATGTGGCCGATATTTAGGGATGACATGGCTAACACAGCTGAATGAAGCAGTCTGTATTCACATGCAAACCTGTTCTCTTCCAACTTTTTCTCATTTTAATCTGCTTAGCGCATTCCTGGAACAAGTTGATAAAGCATCCTGTAGTCTGAGTTTCTCCTGCATTTCTGACAATTTGTGTGTTTCCAGGCCCTGTTATAATTGCTTGTATAATTATAGTGTTCTCTCTTCCTTGTGATTTGAAAATCTTGTGACCTTACATCATCTGTATTTATCCCTAGAGTTTGGCGTGGCACCCTGGTACTGATATTGGTACACTGGGCATTTTCAGTCAGAATTTGCTTGTTTTTCTCATAGATTTCATTTTCTGTGGTTTTGTCTTAGATGTCTCTTTACAGGATGTGTGTTTGGTTTTTGTTTTTATCTAATCTGATGATCTTTGTTTCTCGGACAAGGAGGCCGCTATTTGTGTAATTACTAACAAGAGGCTAAATGTGCTCTCTCCTTATTTCCTATTTATCTGTCCCATGTTCCTATTTTTGTCCTTTCTCACTGTGTCTGATTAGTTTTCTGTCCTTTTTTTCTGTGTACAGTGCTTTGGCACATAAACCCTCACGGTTATGTCAGAATTCTAGCCAGGCCTTGGGTTTATCAGGGTATAATATCGGGTTTTTGCCTGGCCATCTTCCCAGTCTGGCCCGCTGGAGCATGTGGCACCCTCCACACTCAACACAGTGACAATTTTTTTTTTTTTTTGGTAGCAGGAATCAAAATCAGGTCCTTGCGCTTGCAGAGCAGGGGAGGGGGCAGCACCACTGAGCTAAAATCCCCGGCCCCACAGTGACAATTTTAATTTGGTTTCACAGTGCAGTGAAGCGACCTGTATCAACTCACGATGGATTCTCTGAATCCTCCTATGGGGTCTTTTTCCTTCTCTGTGATGGCCACTATTTAGAACGCATTATTGTGTAAATCTGCTGTTGGAAACACCATTTACCTGCAGGGGTCTAGTTTTCCTTCTTAAACGGTGGTTTTCTTCTGGGTGGACCTAAGCCACATTCAGCGCCGGCACCTCTGTGAGCTGCTCCTTTCTGTAGCACCTGAGGAGGTTGCTGCCAACCTGATGACCCTGCTTCGGAGGGACAGGCCTGCTTCCCTCCTGCCCTGCCACCACCCTGGGCTGCTTTCCAGATATTTCTCTTTGCTTTTTAGTTCTTGGGTTCCCCACACTGTGACTAGGTGTGGGTTTATAATTTATCCTCCTGAGCCACTTGGTTAGTAGACTGATTTATTTTGTCTGTTAACGAAAAAGTCTCAGTCATTGTCTTTTCAAATACATACGCTCCTCTATCAACCATGAGGTTAAGCCTGGTACACCCACTGTGAGTTGAAAGCATCATTGTAAATTGGAAATGCAGTTGGTACCCAGTGCTGGAGAACCTCATGGCTTAGCTCAGTGTATCAGCCAGCTTTCCTGTTGGGGAGCCACAATCCCTGACACCCACAACTTAGAGCAGGAGCGGTTTAAGGTGGCTCATGGTCTCAGAGGATTCAGTCCATGGTCAGCTGGCTCCAAGGCAGCAGCAACATGGCAGAGGGTGTGGTGGAGCCTTGCTGTTCAGCTCATGGTGGCTGGAGGTGGAGCACAGGAGCTGTGCCAGAGAGCAAAGAGCCAGGAGTCAGGCACAGACTGCAAGGCCTGGCCACGGCCCATCCAGACTCACCCAGATATGCACTTCACCGGTCCCCTGGTTGGGTCCTGAGTCCAATCAGCGCGACCCTCCACCGAACTGCCAAACCCAGCCTGTCCAAACATGCTCAGAACGCTCACATCCACCTACACTTGGGCAGAACCAGCCAACACAAAGCAGACTACCATAGAGCCCTGGTGGCTTCATTCATATGTCAAATGCTCTACTGGAAATGAGAAGCAGGGTGTACTTTTTCACGCCCTTGTACAATCCACAGCCGTAAGTCAGGCTGTGGTGGGCCAGGGACCCGCTGCGTGCTGCTTCGGCCCCTTGTCTTCCTTTCTCCCCCTAGAGCTCCAGTGAAGTGTTGGCTTCTCCTCCTCGGCCTCTCCCCTCTTCTGTGCGTCACCTTTTTCTCTCTGATTCATCTCAGATGACTTTTGTTTACCTGTCTTCTAGGTCAACGATTATCTGTCTGATCCTTTGTGGATGCACGGTGCTGTTTCCTGGGGCTGCTGTAACCAAGGCCCACAAGCCGAGCGCCCTAACCAAAGGGTTCAGGGTCTCAGGGTGCTGGAGGCTGCAAGTCTGGAATCAAGGTGTTGGCAGGGCTGCCTGCTCCTGGGGACCTGTGGGAGGCTCGGGTCCACAGATCTCTACTGACATCTGTAGCTTAGGGTGTTCTTTGTCTGCTACCTGGCATCTTCCCTGGGTTTTAAAATCATCTTCCACCTGTGCTTTTGTGCCCACATTTGACCTTTGTGATAAGGTTGTTCATAATACTGGACTAGGGGCCCCTGTTAGTCCAGCGTAACCTCAGCTTGAGCAAATCCACCCCTACAGACTCTGTTTCTACATGAGTTCAATCCTGAGGCTCTAAGTATGATTTCAACACAAGACTTTAACAGAAATAAACACATGTACTACCAGTAGATTGGATGTGATATCACACTGGAGCTGGAAAAGACTCTGGTGGCTATGTGGAGGTGGCAAAGAAGTCTGCATGTGCACTGGAGAGGATATCTAAACTTTGCTTTGTAGCAAATCTGATGCAATCTATGCCCTCACTTTCAGAGGTATTGTACTATGACTTCAGTCTCATGCAAGAGACTGACCTCCGATCTTCTTGACTCCATCTTCACATCCAAAAAATTCTGGCTACTTATTTCCAGCTCTGGAGGTCTCAGCACAAAGCACCACCACTGTTCTAGTCCTAAGTAGTGGAGCTCTAAATTACTGGCTCCCAAATTGGGGCATGCACCAGGATGGACTGAAGGGTTTAGCAGATGGTCAGAATTCACAGTGCCTAGGAGGGAGCCAGGGAGTGCACTTGGAATGGCCTCAGGTGTCCCGATGGTGCAGGGAAGCTGTGGGTTCAAAGCAGGATCCTGGGTGGGGAGGATACAGGTCCCTGTGTTGGATTTAACATCTTACCAAGCAGGTTTTAAATTGTATTCTTGTTCTGTATACTGCTTAATAGCTTTCCTATTGTTTAGCTCTTTGAGTCTATTAAGATTTATTCTTTTCCCAATCACTTTGTCTATATTATGGGGGAAATTCTGCCAAATGATCACCTATGAATAAAATTTTATTTTAGCTTTCCCCTGTATCATGTAGCCCTTCCACCGATGTCAGTACCGGGTCCTAATTTTGTTGCATTAGAACAAAGGTGGCCTGTCTGCTATTGCCTTTTTGCTTTGTATTAAGATTGCTTTTCATGGGCCAGGACAGGGCCAGCTATTGGGAATCTTTCGTGTGTGCTTGAAAAGAATGGTCCCTCAGTGTTCCGTGAAGGATCTACAAACATTCATGGTGTGTGTGTGCATGTGTGTGCGTGTGCACAGGCGTGCGTGTGTGATGTGTGTATGGTCGCTGACTCTGTGCTGAATTTCAATTTTCTTCTTAGGAGTTGTTTTAGACCCAGGAGGTTCTAGGGATAGCACGGGAATGTCTGCTGAGCCCGGGCAGCCCTCTGCTTAGCAGTGGCCCTGACTGGGACACACTTGCATGCCCGAGCAGCCGGTGCAGGGAGACTTACTGACCAGGTTGGGGTGCTGGGTGCCGATTGCTCTGGGTGTGTGTGGCTTCCTGGAATCTCCCACGCTCAGGCAGCCAGCCCGGAGGGAGCAGCTCACGCTCAGGACTCCAACAACACACAGCTATTCCTGCGTAGTTCTGGAGGCTGGGAACCCAGGCCCCTTGGAGAGTGTCTGTGACATCCCACACCCCGTGCAGTGACTGGGAACCTCTGCTGCTTCACGTCCCGGTCAGCAGTGGTGTGTCATCTCCCTCATGCCAGCTGTCTTCATGGGGGTGCAACAGGTCTTGGCATCATTTTGGTTTTCAGTTTACTAATGACAAGTGACCTTAAACAACTTTCCATTCATGAGTTGCTATCTGTCTGTCTCCTCTGAGGCTGAGGTTTTATGTCCACTTTCCCTGGCTGCCCAGTCCTGTGTCAGAAGTGAAGTGGTCCCCAAGTCTAGGTTAATTCATTTATTTCGCATGTGGACTTGTGGTTGTCCTCGCACTGTTTGTGGGATAATGCCATTCTCCTCCGTTATGCCAACATATCTGAAGCAACGCGCTTTCTCTGTTAATTTACTAAGGAAAATGTGATTTCCCGCTCCGTGTGGATAAGGCCATGTTTACTTCTATGTTGAAGATATGCCAGGTGCATAGAGTTTAGGAATCTCTTATTGTCTGGATTATTCTCTTTCCCTGTCCGTTTTTCCCCAGGGAAGGTCTTCATGCTTCACCTATCATCGTGCTTTTGCCTGAAAGCTGAATTTCCTCATACTATCACCGGGCAGTTTGGCATATCGATTTATCTTTACAGCTAAATGTACCAGTATAGCCCTGTCAGTAACGCTGTCCTGGGCAGTGACTTTGGTTATTTTTACTCTTTCCCCCCAGGAACCATCAGAGTTGGGGTTTGACGTAGTTCTCTCGGGTATGAAATCTCCCTCACCGGACTTTTTCCGGCCTCGCTGCTTTCTTGAGCATGTCCATGAGAAGGGAGATCAGAGGAGCTGCAGCTGAGGATCTTCCGCCCTCGCCCCACACCCCACAGCCAGCGGGGCGCCACGCAAGAACTAAACGACCTCCGTCCTTTCCCTTGCGATAGCCTGGTGCCCCTGCCTTTCCACGGGTCCCTCTTAGTCCTCGACCCTGTGGTTCTCTTTGGAGGTTGATCTCTCCGCCTGGATGAGATGGCGTCGCCTTTCTTTTCTGACTTTGGCCTCATGTGGTACCTGGAGGAGCTCAAGAAGAAGGAGTTCATGAAGTTCAAGGAGCTGCTCAAGCAGGAGACTCCACTGCTTGGACTCAAGCAGATCTCCTGGGCTGAAGTGAAGAAAGCATCAAGGGAAGAACTTGCCAACCTACTGCTCAGGCATTACGAGGAGCAGCAAGCCTGGGATGTGACCTTCAGGGTCTTTCAGAAGCTGGGCAGGAGGGACCTCTGTGAGAAGGCCATGAGAGAGAGCACTGGTGCGTGGGCCCAGGGCCGGGGGTGCGGCTGCTCGCGGCCAGGATGGTGGGAATGCGTGGTGGGAATCTGGCCCTGTCGGGAGGAGACGGCTGTGTGCAGCCCCTGCGGGCCTGTGTGGGGAAACACAGGTGGTCCCCTGCCTTGGCCCCATCGTCCCTCTGTCTGGATCCTCAGTCAGTTTACTGCAGGCTGAGGCGTGGCCTGGTAGCAACAGCCAAGTGGCAGCTACTGTAGACTGTAGCGCCTGGGGCTCAGTGGTGCAGTCCTAGAGGGTGCTCGGACAGCCCTGAAACGCAGTACTGAACAAGATTTCCCAGTCCTAGTCACGCATGCGTGAGTCTAATATCTGAGGAGCAAACGTTCATGACAGAGAAGCCACGACCTAAAGGCATCATAGCCCTAAGTGCTGCACTGGCATTTATCCTGGTTAAAGGCCTCACTGTTACTGTGCATATAGGGGTTCAAGGGCAAGAGACAGTGCTCCTGAATTCCTGTTAGGTCCTCTTCTTTGTCCTACCACGGTGCACTGGATGCAGCTCTCTCGATGTCCAGCCTGCTTGGGATTCACAGCATTCCTCAGCTCTCCACCTTGGCCTTTCTCATTAAAGTGTTCACTCTCCTCCCAGCTTCCTCTGGGCCTCCAATTACACACAGCGGCCTTCACACTGCGTCTCATGTAGCTCTTTTTCTCTTTTCTGCATTTCCTGTGTCTGTGTACTTGCGTCGGGACATTTCTTTCCAACAGTTTGCTTATACCCAGTCCCTGCCGAGTGGTTTCTGGGCTGCATCCCTCAGGTGCTGCTGCGCAGCTCTGCCGTTGTATGGGGGGCTGCAGCCACACACTGCAAGGGTGGAGGTGGCCGGGGCTCTGACCAAAGTGCTCCTGGGCCACAGCCTGGGGATCCCTGAGAAGATCATTCTGAGGTGAGCAGGTGAGGGTCAGAGCACATATGCTGGAGTGTTTAACTCTGACTTGTTGTGGTCTCTTTTGTTCCTGTGCCCCTGACCTAGGAAATGCGAAGATATATCAGACTCACATGAGGGAGAAATTCACCGACTTCTTGTCCAGGGAGTCCATTCCCACGATGCATGAACAGTTGGATATGAATATCACGCAGGAAGAATGCAAATTTCTGGAACTCCTCTTCGAGCCCGAGAAGCAGACCCGCATTCTATGCTTGCTGGGAGCCCAAGGAGTTGGGAAAACAACTTTCCTGGCGAAGATGATCCTGGCCTGGTCCAAGGGCTTCGTCTACCAGGACAGATTTTCCTACATCTTCTACTTCTGCTGCAAGGAACTGAAGCAGCTGCCAGCGACGAGCTTGGCGGGACTGATCACCAGAGCCTGGCCCGGCACCTCTGCCCCTGTGAGTGAGATCATGGCCCACCCCGAGAAGCTCCTGTTCATGGCCGACAGTTTTGAAGAACTGGGCTCTGACCTGGCGGAGCCGGAGGACGAGCTCTGCAGCGACTGGGCGGAGGTGCAGCCACCAAAGCTGCTGCTGAGCAGTTTGCTGAGGAAGAAGATGGCCCCGGAGTGCTGCCTGCTTGTCACCGTCAACCCCAGGGCCGGGCAGGACCTGGAGGACAGGCTGGAGGACCCTGACATTAGGGAGCTCACGGGCTTGAAAGAGTTCGACGTAAAGTTCTACATCTGCCATATGTTCCCGGACAGGCGCAGAGCCTTGGAGGCTTTCAACGTCATCCTGAACAACGAGCAGCTCCTCTCGATGTGCCGGCTCCCTGTGCTCTGCTGGCTGGTGTGCACGACCCTGAAGCAGGAGATGGACAAAGGCATAGACGTGGCGCTCACCTGCCAGCGTCCCACCGCCCTGTATAGCTCCTTCCTCTTGGACCTCTTCACGCCTGAGGGTGCCGACGGCCCCAGCTGGCAGGGCCAGGCCCAGCTGCAGAGCCTGTGCTCCCTGGCCGTCCAGGGCATGTGGACCAACACCATGGTTTTCCGGGAGAAGGACCTCAGGAGGAACGGGATAGGCAGCTCCGACCTCTCTGCCTTGCTGGAGCTCAGGGTCCTCCTGCCGTGCTGGGAGACTGAGGGCTTGTACAAGTTCCTGCACTCCTCGGTGCAGGAGTTCTGCGCTGCCCTGTTCTACTTGCTCAAGAGCCCCGGCCACCACTCGCACCCAGCCGTGAGGGGCACGCAGGACCTCCTGCTGACCTTCCTCGAGAAATCCAGGGCCCACTGGGTGTTTGTTGGGTGCTTCCTGTTTGGCCTGTTGCATGAAAGGGAGTGTCAGAAGCTGGATGCCTTTTTTGGCTTCCAGCTGTCCAGTGAGGTAAAGCGGCAGCTGTATCAGTGCCTGCAGCAACTGGCAAAGGTGGCTGACAAGCTCCAGGGGCAGGTCAGCTTCCTGGCCTTATTCTATGCTCTGTTCGAGATGCAGGAGGAGGCCTTCCTGAACCAGGTGATGGACTTGATGCAAGATCTTGCCTTCTCCGTCTTCATTGAGACAGACCTGAGGGTTGCCGGCTACTGCTTAAAACACTGCTCTAACTTGAGGAAACTCAGCCTTTCCGCCCAGGGTGTCTTTAAGGAAGAAGGCAGGGAACAGAGCTCTGTGTGAGTCCATCCAGTGGTCTTCCTCCTCCTCCTCCTCCTCCTCCTCCTCCTTCTCTTCCTCTTCCTCCTCCTCCTCCCTCTCTTCCTCCTCCTTCTCTTCTCTCATCTTCTTTTTCATACTAGGGAATTAAACCCAAGGCCTTTGCCCTGAGCTACACCCTCAGCCCATTTTTAGTTTTTATTTTTTTAAATTTGGAAACAAGGTCTCTTGAAGTTGTGCAGGCTGGACTTGAAATTGTGATCCTCCTGCCTCAGCCTGGCAGAGCTCTGGACTGACAGGTGAGCACCATCACGGAGGCTCTGCGACTTTCTCCTCTCCTTTCCAGGGTCTGGCCCACACCTGCCTGCCCGGGGGCTGCCAAGGGCGTGGCAAATACCTGGCAGTGCTTAGCGCCTCGCCTATCCTGTCAAGCAGGCACCAGGTCAAACCCTGAATTGACTTTTTAAAAAAATTATGCTATTTTGTTTTATAAACCTTTATTATTTAATTCTGCATATCTATGGGGTAAGTGTAGGGATTTGCTGCATGCGTAGAGTGCCTGCTCTAGATGGAGCCTTGAGCCCTGTGACCTTGCCTGGGGACTCGCTTTCCTGGCTGCAGTGACAACAGTCACACGTGATGACATCATGCCCCTGACGTAGCCCTGGCTCTGAGCATCAGCCCGAAGCAGCTGTGGCTGGGATTTTGGTCCCTCCCGAGCTGGCCGTGGACTCTTTCTTGACCCGTCCTCTGCAAGTTCTTTCCAGACTGACTCTAAACACTCGACAGATTTCTAGTCCTTTCCTACTCATAAAGATCACTCCCGATGGATTCCTTCACGGTCAGGTTAAGGGCGAGGACACGGGGCAGAGAAGGTGCCCGAGGTTATGGAGTGGGAAGGGGCGATGGCTCAGGGTGAAGCCTGGAAACCAGCAGACCTGGGCTCCGAGGTGCTGGCTCGGTGGGGGTGAGGCAGGGCCCTCGATGCTGGCCCAGCTGATGTCCCGCCCGCTGCCTTCCTGCTGCAGGAAGCTTGGATGCATCCCGGGCCTCCACCCGCCAGGCGTCCCTCGGTGGCTCCCTCTCCAGCACCTTTCCTCTCCCCTTTCTTCTTCCCACACAGCTCGAGCTCTGAGCTCCTCTGCTGGCACCAGGTGTGGTCAGTGCTCAGGACCTGCAGCCAACTCCAGATGCTGCAGGTGAAGGATGGCACCCTCAACGAGTCCGCCATGCTGAGTCTGTGTCAACAGCTGAGGCAGCCCAACTGTCTCCTCGAGAATCTTTTGTAAGTTGGAAGTCAGGGTCACCTACACGTGAGTGTATTGTGGAAAGGGCACATTAGTCTCGCCTCCAGCCCTTGTCCCGACTGCATGGTCCGCAAAGGCTCGCCGTCCCAAGCAGAAGCCTAACCCTACCCAGAACGCTGCCGGCAGCTGCTCAGCCGTGAGGCAGGGTCTGTCCCTCGCACGGCAGGGTGTTGCGGAGCACCCCTGAGTTCTGACTTCCGACTTCCAGACGCCAGTAGCTTCCTCTGGTTGTGACAACCCTAACTGAGCCCAAACCTCTCCCATGTGGGAGGGAAGTCACCCAGCTGCGAGCCAGGAGCGACACAACTGGGCTGTGAGATTAGAGTGAGTCCCCGGTGGGCTGGAGGACATGATCGAAGACGGGTTCTCGGGCCACACTTTCAGGCCTTTTTCATGAACTTCTTCAAATTTTCTGTTTTTGCAGTGTCAACAATGTTACCTTCCACTGTGAGAGTTGGACTCTCTTTGAGGCATTCCCTCATAACCCAAATTTGAAATACGTGAACCTTAGCAACACCCAGCTGGGCCGCGACGATGTGAAGGTCCTCCACGGCGCGCTGAGCCACCCAACGAGCAGTGTGGAGAAGCTGCTGTGAGTCTCTCTGCTCTTGGCCTCACGGGCCCCGCGCCGGTGGACTGCAGTTTTTGTGCTTGCTTTTCTGTCCAGTTTCCATTAATTTGGACAAATCTCAGATGTGCTTGGTGTAGTGAGTAGCTCAAAAGTGTACCCTACGGTTTTATCAATATAAAGTTCAAAAATGGGCGCGCCTGCAGTGTTAGTTAGGGGGAAGTTTCACGGGAGAGGTTTGTGCTGCTGGAGATCATCTCCTGGCCTGGAGCCTGGTAACCCAGGGCTTAAAGTGATGATAGCTTGCTGGCCGGAACGTACCATTTGTGCGCTTTCTGCATGTGTGTTTGAGAATAGTTCAAACGTTTTTAATTGAGTTAAGGATCCCCTCTAACGCTTCTCTTTGGCTTCCCTGCTTCCCACACATTCAAACACTTCCCACAACTCCGCGCTTTCTCTGGGATCCGTCATCCAAGCACACAGAGCCTTGAATCCACGACTTAGTAACGGCTTTGTAGAGACATAATACACGTGTCACAAAGCTTGTGTTGGGATAGTGCGAAGTTTAGTGGGCTCAGTTCGTTTTCCCAGGGACGTGCAGCTGTTGTAACTGTCTGGGTCCAGGAAGTCTGGCCGGGCCCAAGGAGAGGCTCCACCGCAAGCAAGGCTCCCTCTGTGGCTCTGCTCGCTGGAGCCACTCACTCCTGGGCTGCCCGTTCTGCACACCACATGTAAACTGAACCACGCAATACGTGGTCTTCGCGAATGGCTTTCTTTCACTCAGCAAAGGTTCGATCAGTACTGCCTTCCTTGTGTGGCTGAATAGTATTCTCCTTAAAATTTAACTTTATTAGTACTTGTTTGCAATACGCAAAGTCCGCGTACATCTCAGGGAGCAGGTACGTGTGCATAACACACCTCTATTCTTCTTTACTCCCCTCCCCTCCCCACCCACCTCCCTTTTTCCATCCCTAGATTGCCTTTCCCCATCTTCTTTGTTACCATTTTATTGTCAGTTCACGTTTGCTTTACCTGATGTCTGCATTCTTTGTGGGTGCTTGGCACATGTCCGTGATACATCTTAAACCTTTTTACTTCTTCCCATCAGCTCATTCCCTTGGACCCCTTCCCATTTGCGAAAGATCTGTCTCCTTGTTTCCTGCTAGCAGTCCTGTTTTCCCCCCTTTATTTGCACTTTGCCTTATTCAGATAAGAGATGCCATGTGGCATTGAAGCTTGCGAGTCTGATTTATTTCCCTTAACATTACATTTTTCCAGGTGCATCTATTTTCCTACAAATGTCTCAAATTTATCCTTCTTTATAGCTGAGTAATATTCCATTATGTATAAATACCACATTTTCTTTATCCACTTGAGTATTGATGGATATACAGGCTGCTTGCAGGATTTAGGTACTGGGAATTGTGCTGCAATAAACATGGCTATGGCTGTCTTTATAATATGATGTCTTTAGCTCTTTTGGGAAGCCACCTAGAATGGGAATAGCCGGGTCAAATGGTATTTTTTTCTTAGTTCTTTGACAGATCTCCTGATTTCCATAATAGTCATACTAATTTCCATTCCCACTGACAATGTAGAAGGATTCTTTTTTCAGCACAGCCTCACCGGCATTTGTTATTATTTGATTTCTTGATGATTGCTATTCTTTCTACTATAAGATGAAATCATAATATTGTTTTAATTTGCATTTTCCTAATGGCTGGAAGTGTTTTTTCATATGCTTATTGGCAATTTGTACTTATTCTTCTGAGAAGTCTCTATTCATTTCACTTGCCCATTTTTTGATTGGGTCTTTTATTTACGGGAGTCTCTTTTTTTGAGTTCTTTATATATTCTAGATATTAGTCCTCTGTCTGAAGAATAGCTGGCAAAAACTTTTGCTCATCTGTAGGCTGTCTCTTCACTCTGTTGATTGTTTCCTTTGATGAACAGAAGCTTTTCAATTTTTTTAGAAGCTTTTCAATTTGATGTGATCCCATTTGTTGATTCTTTTTTTTTTTTTCGGTATCGGGGATAGAACTTGGGTCCTTCCGCTTGCGAGGCAAGCAGCGGAACCACTGAGCTAAATCCCTGGCCCCAATTGTTGATTCTTGTTGTGATTTTTTGTGTGTGTGTGCAGTTGGAATTCTTTTCAGAAGTCTTTGCCTACACCTATGACTTATCTTCCAGTAGATTCATTGTTTCCATTTTAATGTTTAAATCTTGATCTATTTGGATTTCAGTTTAGTACACAGTGAAGGATGTGGGTCCAGCTCCAATCTTCTGCACACAGATGGCCAATTTTCCTGGCACCATTTGCTGAGTAGACAATCTTTCCTCCAACGTGTGTTTTTGGCTTCTTTGTCAGAGATGAAATTGCGAATGTGTCAGAGATGTTCCTGCGTCCTCTGTCCTGTTCTATTGATCTTCGTGTCTGTTTTTGTTCCAGTACCATGGCATTTTTATCACTGTGGCTTTGCAGTATAGCTTGAAGTCAGGTATTATGATGCCTCCTGCTTTGCTCTTGTTACCCAGGATTGCTTTTGCTATTTTGGGTCTCTTCTGGTTCCATATGAGTTTTAAGGTTGTGTTCTCTAACTGTGAAGAATGTTGTTTGGTATTTTGATTGGCATTGTGTTCAATCTGCAGGTCAGTTCTGGAAGCATGACCATTTTGACAATATTGGGTCTTCCTACACACTAACAGGGGACATCTTTCCATTTTCTCATGTCTTCTTTAATCTCCTTTTTCAGAGTTCTGTACCTTTCATTGTAGAGGTCTTTCACTTCTTTATTTAGGCATTTAATTCCTAGGTATTTTAATTTTTCTTGATGTATTGTGAATTGTATTTTTTTCCTAATTTCTTTCTCAGTGAGTTTATTACTGGCATACACAAATGCTATTTTTATGAGTTGATTTTGTATCCTTCTACATTGCTGAAATTGGTTATTAATTCTAAGAGGCTTTAGTGAAATTCTTTGGATCTATTTAGAATATCATGTTGTCTGCAAATAATGGTAATTTGAATTCTTCCTTTCCTATACATATTCCTTTTATTTCTGTCTCTTGCCTGATTTCTCTGGGTCATATTTCAAGTGCTATGTTGAACAGAAGGGGTGATAGTGGGCATCCTTGTGTTTTTCCTGATTTAGAGGGAAAGCTTTCAGTTTTTCCCCATTTAATATGATCTTGGCAATTGGTTTGTCATAAATAACTTTTATCACATTCAACCAATGTCCTTCTACACCTATTTTCTTAAGAGTTTTTATCATGAAGAGATGTTGGATTTTGTCAAAAGCCTTGTCTGCATCTATTGATATGATCATGTGGTTTTGTCCTAGCTTCTGTTTATGTGGTATTTTACATTTATTGATTTGTGTATGCTGAACCATCCTTGCAAACCTGGGTAAAACCTACTTGGTCATGATGTATGAGCCTTTTAGGATTTTTTTTTTTTTTTGGTACCGGGGATCAAACTCAGGTCTCCGCACTTGTGCAGCAGGCGGTGAAACCACTGAGCTAAATCCCTGGCCCATGAGCCTTTTGATAATGTGCTGCATTTTATTTGCCAGTATCTTATTGAGGATTTTTGCACCTATGTTCATTAAGCAGATTGGCCAGTAATTTTCTTTGTTAGTTGGATCTTTGTCTGGTTTGGGAATCAGAGTGATGCTGGCATCCAGAAATGAGTTTGGAAGTGCTCCTTCTCTTTCAGTCTCGTTGAAGAGTTTGAGGCGGATTGGGGATAGATAGGGTTAATGGTTCTGTACACTGCGACAGAGAATCCCTCAAGTCCTGGGCCTTTTTTAGTTGATAGGTTTTTTATTATTGTTTCGACTTTATTGATTATTATTGGTTTGCTCAAAAAGTTTTTATGTCTTCTTGGTTTAGTTTTGGTAATTCATATGAGTCTAAGAATCTGCCCATTTCTTCAATATTTTCCAATTGCTCTTTCAATGAACCAGCTCTTTGATTTGTTATTTCCTTGTATTGTTTTTCTTTTTAGCCTTGATTTCATTAATTTGTACACTGATCACTATGATTTCCCCCCTTAATTTCAGTTTGGCCTTGGATTGATGTTGTTGTTCGAGTATCTTGAGGCTCCTCATTAGTTTATGCATTTGAGCTCACTCTGGTTTCCAGTGTGAGCACTGATCGCAGTGAGCATCCCCATTAGGACTGCTTTCACAGCACCTCATGTGTTGTGGTGTGTTGTGTTGGCATTGTCGTTTGTGTCCAGAAATGGTTTAACTTTTTGTTTGATTTCTTTGGTAACACATTTGGTGTTCAGGAGTGTGTTATTAAGTTTCCACCTATTTCTAAATTTCCTGTGGTTTCTTTTATGATTGATTATTAATTTCATTGCACAATGCTCTGATAGTAAACATGACATAATTTCAATTCTTTTATAATTACTTAAGCAGGCTTTGTGGACTAATATGTGGTCTATTTTGAAGAAAGTTTCACATGCTGCTGAGAAGAATGTACACTTTCTTGTAGTAGGTAGAACATTCTATAGATATCTGTTGCACTCATTTGTTCAAGGGTGTGGTTTAGCTTTGATATTTATTGATTTTTTTTGTTTAATGGATGTGTCTCTTTGTGAAAGTGGGGGATTGAGATCACCCATTATAACTGTGTTGTGTTAGTGTTTATTTGATCTTTTATGTCCAGCAGTATTTGTTTATGAAGATAGGTGCCCCAGTATTCTGTGCATATTATATTTACAAGTGTTATCTTTTTTGTTGGATTATTCTGTTAACTAGTATCTAATGACCTTCTTTGTCTCTTCTGATCAGTTTTAGCTTGAAGTTTACTTTGTCTGAGAGTAAAATTGCTACCCATTCTTGTTTTCTGAGTCCTGGTGCATGGAATCTTATTTTCCACCCCTTGCTTTTCAGCCTATGAATATCTTTTTGAATTAGATGAGTTTCTTGATTGCAGCAGATTGTTGGATTCTGGTTTCTGAACCAATCTGCCAATCTGTGACTTTTTTTGAGGGGGTACTGGGGATCAAACTTGGGACCTTGCACTTGCGAGGCAGGTGGCAGAACTGCTAAGTCCCTGGCCCCAAATCTGTGACTTTTAATCAGAGAGTTGAAGCCATTAACATTGAGAGTTAATACCGAAAGCTGTTGGTTTATTCCTTTCATTGCACTCTTTTTCTGTAATGACTCCTTTGTTTTTCTTTTATTTCTTTTTGCATGCTTATTTGTTTCTCTATTTGCCTTGCTTGATATATTTGTTCCATCTAGATTTTTTGACTTCGTTGGCTTCACTGTCTCTGCCTAGGATATTCTTCAGTATTTTCTGGAGGGCTGGTTTGGTATTCAGAAATCTCTTGTGTTGTTCTTTTTCATGGACTGTCCTCCTTTCCCCATCTGTTTTTTTTTTTTTTGGTACCGGGGATCGAACTCGGATCCTTGCACTTGCGAGGCAGGCAGTGGAACCACTGAGCTACATCCCCGGCCCTCTCTATCTGTTCTGAAAGAAAGTATTTTTGTTGGATATATTAATCTGATATGGAATTTATTTGCTTTTAGGCTTTAAATACTTCATTCACTCCAAGCCCTTTTGACCTTTTCAAAGTTTGTGTTGAGAAGCCTGTTGTAATTCTAATGGGTATGCTCGGATGTGAGTTTTTTCTTTTTCTCTTACGGCTTTTAAAATTCTGTTGTTTTCTTGGATACCTGGCATTTTAATTATAATGTGTCATGGGAGCTTCTTTTTCATCATAGTTGGTTGGTGTTCTGTAAGCTTCATTTCCTGTATATTGAACTCTTTCCTCATACTTGGGAAGCTTTTTATTATTATTTCTTAAACCAAATTTTTATTCCTTATCTCCTATCTGCCAGTTTCTCTCTAACCAATTAGCCTTGAGTTGACTTTAGCACCCTCTAACAGCTGTTCCATGGATTTTTCTTGTATATTCTGGATACAATTTGGTGATATACAAGACATATGATTTGCAAATATTTTCTCCTGTGCAGAAAGTTATCTTTTTACTTGCAGTTTTTTTGTGTGTGTATGCCTGTGGTGTAATATGTAAGAAATAATTGTCTAACTAATTGAAGGTCATTAAGATTAATTGCCTTATTGTCTTCTAAAAGTTTTCATTGTTTGAACACATATTTAAGTTTATGATACATTTTGAGTTAATTCTTGAGTACCGTGTGAGGTAGGCCCATTCCAATTTTTTAACCCCCTGAAAATAATATCTTAAAGCTAGAAATAACTCTCAACCCATGAATTGCTGCAGAACCATCCAGGTGAGATGTTAGAAGGTGTGGACTGGGTGCCTTGGAGTTAACTTTCATATCTAGACAGCTACTTTAATTGTTTATGTCTTTATTCTTTTGTCTCTGAGCTTAGCTTGGCTGTGTGTGAGAGACAGCCCAAAGTAAGTAGAGTGCTCAAGGTAATAGAAGATCACAGTGACTGTCAGGAGAGGTCACCTCGGCAAATCAGTAATAAGCCCAGCTGGACCCCACTCAGGGCTTCTCTGAGGGGGGTTCTGTGAATGATGAGGACCTTCTGACCCCAGGGCTGGGAAGAGCATTCCCTCTGGTGAGCAGGTGCCTAGGCCCCAGGCAGACACAGGAGATGGCAGGGGATTACCTGGGGACAGCACATGTGGACACCTTGAAAAATAAAACCTAATGTGGACCAAAACTAGAAGTACCTGGTGTAGCTGGGACACAGGGACCTGAAAGCAGGTAGAGACCCCACGGGTTGCGTTGTACAGTTGGGGCTTCTCTGCGCGTGAGTGAGAGGACATCAGCCGAGCGTAGACACATCAGAGTCTGGACGTGCCTCAGGCTGTCTCTTGGCCTACGCATAACAGGTTGACGGGGATAAAGAGCGAGGCTCTGGAGGAGAGCAGAGTCTATGTTTTGACACTCACAGGATCAGCAGGAGGACTGCATCAGGGAGCGGAAGCCAACAGAATGTCACATTTCTCCCGCTGTAGGCTGGTAAATTGTAACCTGTCAGCTGACGATTGCAAGGCCTTGGCCGCCACCCTGATGGAGAGTAAGAAGCTGGACTCCCTGAACCTCTCCTGCAACAACCTGAAGAAGGGGGTGCGTGCTCTGTGCAAGGCACTGTGCCACCCCAACTGCACCCTGAAGTTCCTGGCGTAAGTGGCCAGGGGGGCGGCACTGTGGAAAGCCCATCAGCAGCGTGAGGTTGGGCCTGGGGGCCTGGTCTGAGCAGTGGCAGGACCGTGGCAGAGGTGGAAAGGTTAAGATGCGGGAAGACTTGAGTCCCTGTAGGGCCCCCGCTCGCTGGCTGTCCTCTTCAGGGAGTTCTTTACTCTCTCCCAGCGCTGTGCCGCTCTGTACACAGGAGGAGGACACAGCCTGTCCTACCCATCTCGCAGGTTTGGGTGAGATCGTCTACACAGAGCACGTACAGCAGGCCCTCCGTGTCCACGGGGCCACCTCTGTGGATTCGACCAACCATGGGTCGAAAATACTGAGGAAAAATTGTGTCTGTACTGAACATCTACAGATTCCTTTCCTTGTCTTTATTCCCTAAACAACAGTGTGTAATTACTCACATAGCATTCAGGGTGTAGTATATATTACAAGCCACCCGTGCATCTACAGTGTACAGGGATGTGTGTGGGTTCCATGCACACCCTTCACCATTGCTTGTAAGACACTTGAGCATTCGCGGATTTTGGTATCCACAGGGCACAGACACAGAGGGATGACTTTTGACTAAATTTCAGATCTCAGACAACACAGAAGATCTGCAATGCACACTACGTGTGTGATGACACTTACCAGTCTCTAGCATGGAGTGTGGAGTCTCAGATGGTGCTTAGGACAGTCATGGAGCAAGACGTCCCCAGCCTCATGACCCCATTTAATACTGAGTGTGCTCAGTAGGCTAACTGTGAGAAATCAGGGTGCACAGAGCACAGAGGAGGAAGCAGATGAGCTGTGGATTGCCCATCTCCTATATGTAATATGTACAGCATTTTAAATATGTGTGTGATGTGAAAAATGTTAGAAGAGATCACAAAAGTCAACAAAGAAACAATTGCCTATATTGCAATAAACATGTGGATCTAAACATATAATTACAGCTGGATAGCTGGGAAGAAGTTAGGTGGTAAATGTTAGCACCTAGGAGGTTACCAACATAAGCTAAGCATTTTAAATGAATTGTTTTAATTTCATTTGTAGGCCTATAACGCCCAGTACCTCAGCATTTCTTTGACTCCTCCTTATTGACAAGCACAAGTTTCTTTGCAAATTAACTTTTAATTCTCAGTGTTTTCCAGCAGCTGAGAAAAGAAGACATTGTTTTAAAACAGCCAAATATTTAGTACATAGCAAATGTGGTAGAGCATGTGTTAACGACAGTCGATGATGACAGTCTGAAGTTATATAGCCATGATGGCTCTCAAGAGCACCGGGGTGAGGGAAGCTGAGGCCTTACGCACGAGGTAACCAGGACGCTTTAGCAGCCCACGAGGGACCGCTCTGAGAGCAGCGCAACACGCAGAACTAAGCACCCTCGGGAGTATTCACGGTGCCGTTTCACACTGTGTTTTTTCACATGAATCATTTTGTCAGTTTTATTTTCAAATCCCCCTTTCACGTAAGAAAACATGAAGGGAGACATTTTCAGGTAAGCCGCGAGTTCTTGGTCTATCTCCGCAGGCCCTCTATGTCAGGTCACAAAAACATTACCTTTAACGTTAGAAATGGTACTTTCTTCTCATGGTTCAGAGAGGCCCCTGCCCCTGACGCCTCCCTTCTCCCCTGTTGTGTCCCCTCAGGTTAAGCTTCTGCACCCTCAGGGAGTGGTGCTGGGACTACCTCGCTGAAGTTCTCCTGATCAGCAAGAGCCTGAGCCACCTGGACCTCAGCATAAACAGCTTGAGGGACGAGGGGCTGAAGGTCCTCTGTGACACTCTGAGATACCCGGTCTGCGCGCTGCAGATACTATGGTGGGTGCCCCAGAGACGCTAGTGACCCAGGCTTCTCCCTGGGGCCTCCGGAGAGGCTGTGGCGTCTGTGGCCGTGGCTCGGGGGGGCTACAAACACTCGGCTCCGCTTCCCCGGGTCTCGGGACAGTGGCTGTCTTCTTCCCCTGTCTTTAGGGTTTCCCGAAGTTTGTTCTGTGACACTGGCTTGGTGGTCATGGATTTCTTTAGTTGATATTTATCTTGTCCTTTGATTTTGAAAGATAGCCATTCAAGGTATAGTAAACTGGGTTAGAGATTGTTTTCTTTCAGGGTTAGAAATACATCATTAAAAGCCCTCCAGGATGTTTACGTTTCTGTTAGGAGGCTGCTGTTACCTGGATGGCTTTGCCCTTGTGATTCATTTCTCTCTGACAGCTCTCAACATTCTTTCTTCTGAATTTTGGGCAGTTTGACTCCGCTGGCTCATGGAGAAGTTCCTTCCTGGCCAGGCTCCTTTATCTGGGTATCCTCCTCACCCCAGTGTCAGGGAATTTTCTCCTCTGTTTCAGTGAGCAGGTTTTCTATGCCTTTAGTCTATATTTCCTCCCCCTTCTTGAGCCGGGGGAGTCAGAAATGTGGTCATTTCATTCCCCAGAAGCTTTTGAATGATCTCTGTGTTGCTTCTTGCTAGTTTTCCTCTGTTATTGTCCAGATGTTCTGTGTGTTCGCCTTGCCTGTCTTTTTCTCTTCTGATTTGTCTTGCTGTCTAATTCTGCTGAGACTTTCAGTCAAGTTTTTCTTTAACAAATTGGGGTTTTCACCTCCAGGATTTCTGCTTGGTTCTTTTTCAGAGCCTCTGTCTCTTTACTGACATGGCCTTTCCTAGCCTGCACTGACCTCCTTAATTCATTCAGCTGCTTATTCACATCTTCTCTGACCCCACTGACCATTTTAACTATCAGTTTTGAAATCCTTTGTCTGGATCTCATCCATTTCAGTATCTGTGGTGTCTGCTTGTAGAGAGTTGTGAATCTTTGGAGCATCTCCTTGCCTCGTTTTCTCACAATTCTTGTGTTTTGCCTTGAGGTTGGCAGACCAGCGGGTAGGGGTGTCTCTCCACAGGGTGTGGAGGTCACTTTAGTCAGTGGCTCTCTCCTGGTGATGTCTCTGGGCCGAGGTGGATCATGGGGACAGAGCCTACTCAGTCTGTTCTGCGATGAGGTTCAGTCCACAGTGCTGCTTCGGGAGGGGACAGTAACTACCAACACCGCAGTGACCAAAAAGCAAACCACACGGCATTGGTGCATAACTGAGAACTGATATTAAAAGATCTCTACTGTTTTAGCAACCCAGGAAAGACAGGGACAGTAATAATATACACTAGGTAAGAAAAACATAATGATATTCTGATTAATAATGTTCCATATTAATATGAATTTTATATCCATACTATTTTATATTTTTAATTTTAGTATTAATACTAATTTTATTTATGCTAATTTTATATATTAATACTAGTGTTATATGCAAAAAGGGAGAAGGGCAGAGAGACAGAAGAAAGTATAAGAAAAGTAAAGAAAAATGGGAAGGGAGGATAAGTGGGAAGTAGAGATAAGACGATGACTGGATCCAATTACTGGGCTAAAAGTAAAACAAACTTAGATAACCCTATGAAATAACTGCTGATGTAAAATGCACAAAGTAGCACAGAATGGTGCAGAGCAAAGGCAGCAGCTCACACACATAACCAAACTAAAACCCAACCAACGATACAAAACAGAACAGAAAATCTAGGGTGGACCCGCTGTGGAGCTGTTCGCAGGGAGGACAGTTACTGGCCCTGCCTGAGGAGAGGGGCAGGCTCTCGGGGCGCCGCAGCTGAGCTCCCCCCGTCCAACGTGGCTGTCTTGGTGACACTGGGTCTCAGGGTCTGTGTCGCATGTGCGGCCGGGAGTGAGCCAGCCACCTCTCCGTGACAGGCCTGACCCAGGGTCCCCGTCCCTGCTCTTCGAGCTGTGGCCGCAGGTGTGTGTGTGCAGCGCGGGTTCCTGGTGTCCCTGAGCGGGGCTCGTGCTGTCCTCATGGTGCACACCCTGAGGGGCCGGCAGGGCACAGCCTCGGGTCTGCTGTGATCAGGAGCCTCTGCCCTCCTCTGGACCATGGCGGGGTGCTGGCCCTGCTCCCCGGTGAGTCTCAGCCTCGGATTCCCGCCCTGCGGTCCACAGCCGGCACTGCCCAGGCCTCCCCTCTCCAGCCCTGGTGCCCTGGGCTCCTACCTGGGCCACAGCCCACTTAGCGTCCCGGGGGCCACAGTTCCTCCAGGGTGACGCTGCGGACCCTGGGCCCAGAGTCCTGAGGACGCAGTGACCTAGGCTGGACGCCACACCCCACGGCTCTGACAGTGCCCCATCCTCATGTTCCCTGCAGCCTGATGAAGTGCTCCATCACGGCGGAGGGCTGCAGAGACCTGGCCTCGGTCCTCACCAGCAGCCGGAACCTGAGAAGCCTGCAGATTGGGGGGAACAACATAGAGGACGCGGGGGTGAAGCTGCTCTGCCAGGCTCTGGCACAGCCCAGCTGCCTCTTGGAGACCCTGGGGTGGGTATCGCAGCCGCTCGCCTGTGTTTGTGGGAGGCCTGGGCAGGAGGAGAAAACATCCCATCGGCTCAACAGGACGTGCAGGCTCAGTGCTCAGTGTGGTTGTGCAGTGAGCCACAGGCGGCCCAGGCAGGGCTGGGCTGCTCGGCTGCCCTGCGTGAGCTGAGAGTGAGGTTCCTTGGGCCGCTGGTGCCGGGCTGGCCCCTTCCCAGGGCAAGGCAGTGGCTGTCAGCTGGGGTCGCCCGGGGTGACTGGACTGCTAGTTGTCTAACTGGGAGCCTGGGCTGAGTGTGTATGTCTGCTGGTACTGGAGACTGAACCTAGCACCTTTGCACTGAGCTGCATCCCCAGCCCTTTGAAATTTTTAATTTTAAGACAAGGACTTATGAAGTTGCTGTGTTGCCCATGCTGGGCTCAAATTCGTGATGCTGGGCTCCTGCCTCAGCCTCCCACAGTGCTGGGATTTCAGGCAGGCAGCAGCAGGCCTGGCTGGGCCTGGGCTCCTGGGCCTGGCAGTCTGGTGAGGCCTGGTGTCCGAGGGATGGCTTCCTGCTGAGACTGTGACCAAGAGGCACCTGGTCCGGGGCCCCTCTGGGCCTGCAGCACCTGGCCCTCCTGTGGCTTTGCATCCCTTCCCTGTCTCGCATCCTGTGGCTGAATCTCCCTTCTTAGAGGACCAGTTACACAACCTAGGGCCACCTCAGTCCCACTGTGGCCCTAACTGCCCCTGTAGACTCTGCACCATGTGCAGCCCCACCCTGGGGCAGGATGTCAGCAGGGAGCTGTAGGGGACACAGTTCAGGCCTGGCATCTCAGGAGCCCAAAGACCAGGAAGGCCATGCTCAGAACTCACACATCTGGGAGTCGCAGGGCCCAGAGTGAGGGACAAGGCCAGGCCCGAGCCCAGGGCAGGGGACGTGGACTCCGAGCATCGAACTGAGGGTCTCTCCCACACCTTCTCTTGCAGGGTGGAGGACTGCGGCCTAACCAGCGCCTGCTGCGAGGACCTGGTCACCGTGCTCACCACCAGCAAGACCCTGTTTATGCTGAACCTGCTTCAGAATCCCCTGGACCACGGTGGGGTGGCACTGCTGTGCCAGGGCCTGAGGCACCCTGAGTGTGCCCTGCGGGTGCTGGGGTGAGCAGCCATGCGCCCCTTCCGTGGGGAAGCCCGGGCTGGAGGCACCGCTGGAGCTGCCGTGCACAACTGCTGCGACATTTTAAACTGTTATTTGTATTAGGCCGCGTGTGCAGTACGCAGAGGTCACGTTCACTGCAGGGAGTGGGCTCATGTACACGGTGCATCTTCGTTCTTGTTGTATCCTCTTCCACGCTCTTCTCCCCTTCTTAGTCCTCTTCCTATCTCCTGGTCTGGGGCTGTTGCAGGACTAAGAGGTGGAGTACCAAGCCCTCTCCCAGCTAGTACTAGGGAGTGCTGGGTGTCAGTGATCCATTGGTGGCACTTGGCACTATTGCAATGTGAGTTATAACGCGTAACTGTATTTCTAAATGTGACTTATGTGGAGGCACACAGTCCCTGAGCGCAGCACTTCGACACAACGCTGGGGCACACCACACTCGTGTGGACGAGCGTTCTGATTTTCACTCCAGTGCAGTGCTCTCTAGGTCACTTGAGCTCTTCCACACTTTATCATCAGGCCGGCGTGTGAGGCGGGGAGCTGGGGTGAGAGTCCCCAGCTGGAAGGGCTCTGCCAGGACGTGCTGCTGGGTGGGCTCAGCAGAGCCGCTGTGCAGCGTGCATTTCTGTTTTTTGTTTTTTGGTACCAGGGATAGAACTCGGAACCTTGTGAGGCAGGCAGGGGAACCACTGAGCTAAATCTGCGGCCTGCAGCATGCATTTCTGACTCAGGATAGAGGTCAATCTGGATGTGGCCCCATCATAAATTGAAGTGCATCTGCACTTATAATAGAATTTATATTTATATTTTCGCATCCAATGTCGGGCTGCATCGTGGCCCTTGCCCTGCAGGACTCCCCCTCCCTCCCTCTGGGAAGATGCAGGCACCATCCCTGTCACCCACCCTGATGTCTCCCTCTGGAAACACTGGGTGCCCGGCTCTGTTTCTGCCCCATTTTGACTTTTGCTGAAGCCTCAGGATGGGATGGGGCGGAGGGACCTGGGCTGCCTGTGCTGTGGGGCGTGGGGCTCTGATTCCTGGCGACCTGGCCAGGGCCCGGACTCCCCTGGTGCCACCCCTCTCTGCGAAGCAGGGTAGTCTTTTGGCGTGGGAATGGGGGAGTGGCCCTGAGCGAGGGGATAGGATGACGGAAGTGAGCGTGTGCGCCCACCTCCCCAGCTTTCCCAGATCACAGGCCTCCGGCAGGAGGGGAGGCTTCTTGGCTGCAGATGAGTAGGTGCCAGACCTGCAGGGGGCCGGGGCTCAGCGGCCCCTCCCCCCTGCCTGGCGGGGGACACACACGCTCCGCTCCGCTCCGGGCCGGGCCGTGGCGCTCTGGCTGTCCCGCTCTCTGCTTTTTTTAAAAATTATTTTTATTATTTTTTTATTTTTTCCCCACTCTGCTTTTGTGACTGAGTGTCCTCCTCTCATGCGGGACAGTGATGAATCCTCTAAGGTCGCCGGGCAGTGAGGATCCAGGGCCCAACAGCAGGGAACAGAAACAACCATTGTCTTCCCCTCTTAAAACTAAAACCAGCGCCGCCGGCCTCTCTGCCTCCCCAGCGCACTCCTTGTCCCAAGCCCTGTGTCTCTGCGGAATCAGCGCTGTCGGTCACCAGTTCTGGACGCCGTGCTGTCCAGGGCCTCCCGTGAGCCAGCTCACTAGAGTGCGCAGGGTCAGGGACATTCGTGTGCCTCTTCCTGGCCCTGTAGGCAGTGTCTGGTTGGCAGCTTGAAACCGCCACGGCTGGGCTGGAGAATTCACACCACAGAACGAACACAGCAACCAGCCGGGCCATGGTGGTGGTGGCGGTGGTTACCATTGCCACTGTCGTTGTCTGCGTGGGTGAGGTGTCGAGCACTTATGAAGGCCACTGCAGGTCATGGGTACACCTGTCCCCTCGGTGCGCCCCGGCCTCCCTAGGCTTGTCCCGGGAAGAGATGGCGGAGGAAGGGGGCATGCAGAAGAGCAAAGCAGTGCCCGTTAAACAGAGCCTTTTCTCTGTTTTGCCAGACTGAATAGTGCTGAATTTGGTGAGGAAACCCAGGCACTTCTGACTGCTGAGGAAGAGAGAAATCCCGACCTGGTCATCCTGGACACATGGTGATGCAGAAACGGAAGACAGCGGTTCGGGGAGGGCTGCAGCACCCAGATGCCAAGAGGAGGCTGTGGGACACCTGCGGGGCAGGGCCGCCTGGCACCATGTGTGTGGGGACGCGACAGTGGCTCTGCCCGCCCGGGGGGTGGGCCTCGCTGCGCACACAAGGTTTTAATTTGCTCTGTGGTCTTTGGCCAGAGCTGCAAGAGCTCCGTGACGGAACTTGTATCTTGTCTACAATCGTCTTTTAAATCCCCAATAAAGTCCTATTTCTTTTTATTTATTTATTTTGGGTACTGGGGATCAAACTCAGGACCTTGTGCTGTCGAGGCAGGCGCGGTACCACTGAGCTAAATCCCCTAAAGTCCTATTTCTTAGAGCCCTGGGATTTGCTGCTGGCTCAGGAGTGCAGGTTGAAGGACTGTGCTTGGCTCTGGCCACCTGGAAGGACGAGAGGCAGGGAGAGCCCTGGGGTGCCAGGCTGCCCATCCCCTTTCCTCTGCAGCCCTGCAGGGGTGAACAGGCGCTTCTGTGCGGAACACCAAGCCCGTCTCCCTCCCTCTCCCTAAACCCAGCCCTGCCCCACAGAGGGAGGTGAGCAGCTGCAGTGAGGCATCAGCCTTAGTCCTGCCAGACCGGCAGGGCATTAGATTCCCACAGGAGCAGGAGCCTGTGGTGAACCTTGGGGGACCCAGATTGTGAGCATCGAATGTAGTAACAGAAATATGCCAGGTGTGGTAGCACATACCTGCAGCCCTCACACTCAGGAGGCTGAGGCAGGAGGACCACTGTGGGGTCAAGGCCAGCCAGGGCTACATAGTGAGACCTTGTCTCAACCTCCCCCCCAAAGAAAAGACAAGTGCACAATGCGTGTAATGCACTAGGCTCCTCCGAAACCACACCCTGCACTCCTGATTGGCAGAAAAACTGTCTTCCACAAAGCCCATCCCTGGGGACGAAAGGTTGGGGGCCACTGTGCCTGAGCCCCAGCAGCAGCCTGGCTGGGAGGACTGGACAGCCTTGCACACGCGCACACGCACACATGCTGCATCAGCGTGAGCACCTCGCGCCAGATGAGTCACTTCAGTTCCTGGACACAAGCGGGGGTGACTGCCGGCACCCCTGATGCACACACATCTGTGTGTGTGCAAACACGCACCTCCCAGACTCACCAGCATGACAGCGCATGTTGCCAGGGAGCGAATGAATGCACAGACTTTCTCGAGTCAGGCTAAAAATGCATCTGTCCACACGAACAGCCTTTGCCTTTCAACCTGACATGTGGAAGGGCAGTGTGCGTTTGCTTTGTTTTCATTATTTCTCTATTGATAAGCAGGTAGGTCTCTCTCTCTCTCTCTCTCTCTCTCTCTCTCTCTCTCTCACATTGAGCTGCATCCTTTGCCTTTTCAAATTATTTCTTTTAATTTTAAGACAGGATCTCACTAAGTCGCCTGGGCTAGAACTTGCAATCCTCCCGCCTCAGCCTCCCGGAGTGCTGGGATCACAGGCATGGGCACCACGCCAGGATGGTTGGGGTTACACCTACCGCAGTCCACCACCTGGCAACTGTCCTGTTGTACCTGGGTCTATTGAGATCTGGCCTGGGGTGTGAGTGGGACACAGAGGTCGGCCCGAGGTGAGCAGGGCGGATGGAGTGAGTGCGGGAGGCTGACGGAGGTGTGGACCATGCAGGGCTCGCTGCAGGGCAGCGGGGTGGAGCTCTGGAGGCCACGGTGGTGACCGTCCTGAACCCCAGAGTCAAAGGCTTTAAAGCAGTGGAGATGGCGAATACGAGGGTGTGCATATTCTACCACCACACAAAGGAGAGAGAGACAGAGAGAGAGAGAGAGAGAGAGAGACCATGGGAAAAAGTCACTGACCTCTGGCAGAGCGAGCCAGGAGGAGCTGAGACCACAGCCTCCAGCTATGCTGGTGGCTGGCACTGCCCAGAGGACTGGAGCAGCTCCAACTCTCCACTCCCCCGGTAGAGGTGGGTGGGAAACTGGGAGAAGAGTGAAATACCAAGACACAGAAAAACCCAAGCTGTGTGAGAGCACACGCTGTGATCCCAGCACTCTGGGAGGCTGAGGCAGGACGAGGCCAAGTTCGAGCCCAGCCTGGGCAATTTAGCAACTTAGCAGAGAGATCCTGTCTCAAAACAAAAAATTAAAAAGGTGAAGGAATTTAGCTCAGTGCCATGGCCCTGGGTTCAATTCCCAGTAAATAAAAATAATGAAGATGATGATGATGATGATGATGTTGATGATGATGATAATATAAAAGCAGCAAGTCTTTGGTTTTGTTTTGTTTTGGTACCGGGGATCAAACTTGGATCCTTGAGCTTGCAAGGCAGAGAAACCACTGAGCTAAATCCCTGGCCCAGTCAATGGTTTTTAATTGGCAACTTGACAGCAATTGCATAAAGGTATGAGGATCGGGAAAGAACATGTTAAACTACACTGCAGGTGACTGGACCCCAGATCTGGGAAGCCCAGAGCTCATGGAGAGATTAGCGCAAGGGAAGCTGCACTAAGCGTTAGGAGTGTTTGTGAAAGACAAGCATCCAACCTTAACAGATTTCAAGTCGTAAGAAAAATGACAATAAACAATGGAAAAGAACACCCCTGCCCACCAGAGGAAATCACAGAAGATTGCCTACTCTCAACCTTACCAAGAAGTGCCCAAACCTAGGCAAGGTAACTATAAGGCACACTGCTTAGACCTGTAGTTCACCAGCACATGTGTCAGTAGCAGCACCTTGTTCCCTGTGTGCAGCTGTCCTGTGCACAGCACCGCCCGGCCCCTCTTCCTTCCCTTTGCCAGGCTGCCTGTGAAGTGCGTTCTTACAACACCCGAAGGTAGACCTCATCCTTAAGGGAAGACTGCCGTGGCCCTGCACAGAGACTCAGCCTCACAAGCAGTCACTTTTTTTTCTAGTTTTTTGAGGCAGGGTCTCCCTTTGTGGTCCAGGCTGGCCTGAACTCACTATGTAGCTCAGGCTGGCCTCAAACACTCAGTGATCCTCCTGCCTCAGCCTCCCAGGTGCTGGGATTACAGGCATGCACCACTACGCCTGGCAAAAGCAGTCACTTCTCTCCGCCTCACACAATGGGGTTTTGCTTTTGGCTGCTTCTTTCATGTATTTGTTTGTTTATTATTTAGCATATGGGCACTGTTTAGGTGTACATAATGATCACACTCACCATGGGGACTCTGTGCCCGTATATGGCATATCTTGATTCATCTTTTTCTCCCAATCCCCCCATCTACCCCTCTTCTCCTCCTTACTTACAGAAGCTTTGTTTCCATTTTTTCCTTCTTTTTGCATCTTTTCTTTTCCCTTCTTTCTTCCCCTTCTCCCAGTTCCCCTTTCCTTTTGAACATTTTCTTCCTATTTCATATTATCTATTGTACATTTTGGTCCTTATTTACACTTTCAGTTTCTCACACCAGAAAGACAATGCAATGTTTACACAATGGGCATCTGAAATGAATAGACACTTCCCAGATGAAGTAGAAATGGCAAATAAATATATCAAAAAATGTTCAGCATCACTGGTCATTTGAGAGATGCAGATGAAAACAACACTGAGATTCTATCTCACTCCAGAAAGAATGGCTGCTATCAAGAAATGAACCAATAACAAATGCTGGTGGGTTGGGGGGGCAAAAGGAACCCTGTGTCACTGCTGGTGGGAGTGCAGATTGGTGCAACCACTGTGGAAATCAGTGTGGAGATTCCGCAAAAAACTAAAATTAGAAGTTCCATTTGACCCAGACATTTCCCTTCTTGATATCTTCCCAGAGGAAGTAAAAGCATTATACCAGAGTGATATATACACACCCATGTTTATAGCGGCACAGTTTGTAATAGCTAAGTCTTGGAAACAGCCCAAGTGCCCATCAACCCATGAATGGATAAAGAAGATGTGGTTTTTAAAAATAAAATGGAGTGCTACTCAGCCATAAGGAAGGATAAATTTGAGACATTTATATCTAAATGGCTGCACCTTCAGACTATGCTCTTAAGTGAAATAAATTGGGTTTTTGTTTTCTTTCTGGGTTTTTTTAGAGGGGGCCAGCTGGAGACATGGATTCTAAAGTTCAACTTGACAAACAAACCAGAATAGCTGGAAAAATTCTGCAAAAGGAGCAGAGTAAGAAGAAGATACCCCTACCAGGGGCACCCTGCCTGGCCTCCCAGGCCGCCTTCTGAAATCTGGGCGGAAGCCTTCCTGACCTCACAACTCTTGCATTCTGCATGTGCCTAAAACCAGCACCATGTGGACATTGTCAGTATCTGCTGCCCCATGGAGCAGTGGCCAGGCTTCCTTCTCTTGGCTGTAGGGGTCCAGTGCCTATGAACAAAATCCTCAGGAACAACTTCCCTAGGCTGCCGCCATCCTGGAACACGGTGTTCGGGGTTCTCTTCTCACTGCAAGGCTTTCACCTTTGCAATTTTAAGGCTACAATGGGTGGAGTCCTGCTGCTTCTTGTGATGCCTTCAGGCCATATTTTTGTTTTGTTTTGTTTTTAGTATCAGGGATCAAACTCCTTGAGGCAGGTGGCAGAACCACTGAGCTAAATCCCCAGCCCATCCGGCCATATTTTTTATTCTCCTATTCTTTCTCAGTAACCAACATGTCCTCTGTTCTATCTTTGCAGGCTGTAACTTTACTGGAGCTTCCTTTCTGGCCAAACTCAAAACATTTTAAATCATTCTGCTGGGTTCTTTGCTCTTGATTCTCAACATAAATCTGGCTAAAAGCCCCCAACAGTAACCATGCCTCCACCTCAAAATCAGACTGCCTTGAAATTTCTTCTGCCAGACTGATTAGTCTGCCATCCTTAATCTCAGTCTCAGGCACAGGACATGAGCCAAATGCAGAAAAACTTGCTGCCAAGGTATAACACACATCATCTAGAGTCCAACACCCAATGCAGCCCTTCCCAGAAGAAATCTCGAGCCTGGTCTTTATTGACAGGATTTCTATCACCCTTCTGGTCTTCTGAGCGCTGATCAGAATATCCCAGCCTAAAGTGTTCCAACTCTACTTTTTCAACCAACATCTCCAAACCTTTTGTAACTCTTCCCACAAGCCATTCCCAAAGGCTTCAGAACCACAAGGTCAGCTAAAGTCACAGCAACAACCCCACTCTTGGTACCAAATTCTGTCTTAGTTACTTTTCTCATTGCTGAGACAAAAATACCCAACACTTGCAAGTTAAGGGAGGAACGGTTTATTTAGCTC